TCATTTGCATAAACAAGAAAACCCAAACAAATAAAAAGGCCGAGGATTGTCCCTGGCCAAGAACTGGTTAACTAGTTTGAAAGTATGCTCAAGATGTCTTGAAAACGTATTTGTCTTTCAGCCAAACAATACTGTTAAAGTAGTGAAAATGCTTTGCTTTAAAAATGTGCTTTTTCAGTTCACAGAGAACAGTAGTGTAAAAATAAATCATCCATGAAGTATATTCCATTTTTAAATTTTATCCCTTGATAGATCAGTTGCTTCAAAATCCCTTAACAACCAAGGGAAAAAAAAAAAAAGTTACAGGCTTCACACTTTAAAAGATTGTCGATTGTGTAGGCCAAATGTTGCTAACCCATGGAAAGATTTATGGGCGACTTCTGTCACGACCTGAAGACTCTGGATTCTATTAACATGAGGTCAGTATCTTTATAGTAGTCTACAACGTCGGCAAGGCATTTCACCGCTTTCTCGCACTTTGCTTTTCTCTGGCAAAACCAGCTGTGATCACTCAGCAGGTCCTAAAGAACTAAGTCACAAAAAAGGAATAGATTTTTATATTTCCAGGTGACAAGAATGAACAAATAGCATGATTTGGGCAATCACTTAAAAGCACATTAGTGCCCATTTCACTACACTTTACACTGGATGATCACGTTACTTTAGGACTTAAAAATTAAACAACCCAAAACCTATTTGAAGGAGGTTAGCAAGGGAGGGAGGGGGAAAGGAATCCACACGGCGTTTGAGTTTGGCAAAACCAACCTGCTTTACTCTTCAGCTACACTGAGCAGTAAAGAGCAAAGTGTATTCAGCACAAGGCTGACGACTTGATCATTTGCACGCTAGAATTAAACCTGCATTTTCATGGATATGCTCTGTTTTTAGGAGGTGGTGAGAGTGTGAATTTATTATTAAGGAAACCAAAACATTTCACTTAATTGTTTAACATGCGAGATTTTCATGAGGGAACGAAGATCAGTTACATTTCCAACAGGATTTCAAAACTACATTTTGCCTATTCAACTCTAAAAACTAAGCTGAATAGAAGGCTGAAAGGTTTAAAAGACTAATCAAAGTAACAGAAGTGAGAAAGACAATAACAATACAGTACCTAAAAATGGGTAATTCACACATTTTTCACATTTATGTCTTGCATAGACAAATACTTATTCATTTTTTCTCCCAAGACAACTCAGCTTCAGAAAATAAATCTTAAATCAACTTTAATTACAATTAAATGCATGTGTTCCAATTTTTCAAAATACCAGGGTGTTTTGAGTTTTTGTTTGTTTAAGTGCTACAAGTCTAATGGTTTTATGAAGCTATCATCCCTTGGAAAGGCTTTGTTTCATCCTTTGGGCTGTCAGGTTCATAAAGTCGGGAAACTGAACTGCCTTCTAATTCTTTCTCCATGTGATTAAAGAAATAATGCATGAATAATATATCTATTTAAGTCTTTGTGGCCCTACTCCACTAGAATGTCCATAAACCTGAAGCGACTTTTAAAGCACAGGAACTGGGAACTCTTAATTCCTCAGCGTAGGTTTGCCTTCTGGCCATATTTTGAACATCAAAATGGTACGTGGTGGACACCAGGTCAACACGAATCCCTGCACTTCTAAGCCCTTTGTCCATACCCTGGTTTCCACTGGAAGAAGACCTAGGTATGCAGGCAAGATAAAGTTGGAGGGGTCTCCAAAAGGTTCCTGACAGTGATCAGGGACCAGAACAAGGTAAACGCAGCCCAACGTGCCGCCTCACGGAGTCTCCCTGAAGTCAGCAGGACTCCACTTTGACCCAATCTCCAGGTCTAGGAAACTCTCTGCAGAGCCAGAGCCATGCCTGTCGATGTTTTCCAACATGATTATTTCTTTGGAACAGTCATTTAAAAATATATCCTGATCAATTTGGAATTGATTTACTAAAACGCAATGTTTCTAAAGTTAAAGAACAACAGGAAATTGCATTGCCTGTTACAGAAATCTTGGAAAAACTGGACCGAGAACCCTGTTTTGGGTTACTGATATCTAGATTACATTGAAAAAAATTTAAAAGGTTCAATAATCATAATTGCAGAAGAATTACATTGATTTTAAAAACAAATTAGTTCTATTGCATATGAACGTGACTTTAATTGGGGGTGGGGAAGAAGAATTATAGATGTGTTTAAAGTCAGGTCCCCTATAAAGAGTTTTTAACTAATGTAAACGTGTACCTTCCCTGAATAGTGATGTTTTGCTTAAACCAACAATCCTTCTTACACAGCAAAAAAGGAAGGACACTACTTTTTTTTTTTTTTTAAATTGTGAGAAGAAAAAGCACTTCTGTGCAATTCACACCTACTACAGAATTCTCACTGACAAGGTTTGAGTTCCATATGTTAAGCAATACCTTTGCTTACATCGGTAAAGACTTTTCAGTTTTAAGAATTCACATCCCTATGTTTTTATGTTTCTAATTTGACAGTAAAACTATTCCATATTCTCTCTTCCACAGTAAATTCTGTAAACTTCACTTTCCAGGTATTGATAAACTAGCTGAAAACAAGGTCACAGATGTTTCAGAAGAATAAAACTTTGGCTGCACGTAAGGTGGGGGGAATAAAAAAGCTAACCAGATAATAGTTTCTTTCTGAAAAATAAACTTTCAGAAGTTTGCAAACCCTGATGCCTGGTTGTTTCCAAGTGAGTTCCAAGTGGCACATAAACTACATATTCCTGAACCCTCTTCCAGCCAGCTGTATAGATATTAAGTGTTTTAATACCCTCTCTCTTTTTAAGATCTCAGTTTTCACAGTTTTGAAGTGTGGGCCAATGCCCATTGCCACATTAACTCCAAACCACAGAAGGTTTTTGCCCATTTTGGTTTACCCTTCCCTTCACTGCTGGCTACTTGCTACCCCAACAGACCTGCTGGCTGAGCTGCTTCCTAGACTACCTCCAAGCAGGCTGGGGAAAGCTCTGCTGGGAGATCTGAGGCAGCAACAACTGGTCAGGGAGGGAAAGGAGATGAGGAGAAATGGCCTGTTCCTCCAGCATAGGTTGATTTGGAAAAGCACGTATTTGTCCATAGGCCTGTACACACTGAGAAGTAGACTATTCATCTGCCTCTAACACACTGTTAAATATGAACAAGGGTATCTGAATAAAAACCTCAAACAAAGCAACAAATATAATCTACTATATAATGGAAACTGTGGGGGTGATGAAGCACTTATGGAGTGAAATCAAAACGTAAGAAAAATACTGAATCTGTTTCTCAGTTTTAGTCATCTCAGTTATCCTTTGTCAGAGCAGTAGGTTGAATGTTTCCAAAGGAGCATGAATTTGTACAATATCGGTCTTATTTATATGTTTTGGGGTCAAACTGGATTTGACAATAGCCTTTGAGACAGTTATACTGTGTCAAAGCTCTCCTAATTAAATCTTCCATTATTCATTTACTGTGTTCTTTAACAAACATGGCGCATTAGTGGCAAAGCAGAGAAGTTAGAAGAAAACAAATTCTTTAGAAATTACGACTCCAGCTAGAGTAGATCATTACAGCATTTGAACTAAGAAGCAAGATCCTCAGACAGGAATAAGCAAAAGATCATAGCAGAAACATCACTTGCGTTGAGTAAAACCCAACGCCCATTCTTCAAAACAGCTACTAGTCATTGAAAACTAGTATTATTCTCTGTGTATGTATGCCAATGCTACTGACATTTCTTTCTGAAATTTTTCTTCATACCAACTTATAATTGCCTTGGAAGACAATCTTTAAAGACCCGCTTCCAACCATTTCAGCATGTCAAAAAGTACATGTGTTAATCCTACTGAAATCAATATGACCTAAGCACATGCCTGAGTGTTTTGTGAAGCAGAAATTGAGTATTCAATTAAATATTTGCATCTGTCAAAGGGCTTTGTTCAAATACAATGTCTAAAGATTCTAAAAGTTAACATCTTTCTCCCTGTCGCGTTAGAAATGCAACTAGATTTGGTCTAAATCAGAAGGAAGTTCTGGCTTTGATCTAACCCAACGTTGTGACAAATGGACAGGGGGAAAAGAGGACGTTGATCTTACCATGAGACTTTTGGAGTCTGTTATTTGTACTTAACAACGGGAAATACAAAGTTCCAAAAGTAAGTGTTCATGGATAGACAGACACAGACTCCAAACTTAGGGGAAAAAAAGAAATGAACTGTTACCACAAAAAAAAAAAAAAGGGGGCATTTTCATAACTAGCTCTTCGTTTTTAAATGACACACAAGGATTTTCTACTCTAATAAAGCCTGCTGTATATTCTGGTAGTAACCTTCAGATTTGAAGAAATTTTATATAAATCCATAAGTTATATTTCTTTTTGTATTAGGGGAAAATATTTCAAATGCAATAAAATAGCAGAGTGATAGCAGAATTCATGACTGTATAATAGGCAACTTTTCATTTTTCAGATTCAGTTGTACAAACTATAAACTGTTAAATTTCTCTAATAACTGGAAAAGTTGTGGGTATTTGAATTTACTTACCTGAACACTCATTTAGCAAATACCTTCAGATACAAGTCTAGATACAGAGTTAATGTAATTTGACTATTAGTTTACACATAATATAAATCAATGTTTGACAATATCAAAATCCCATCAAACAGTGGGCCCTTCTTATACTATTATCAAATATAGTATATCACTGTGGGATAGCTGAGAATCATAGAATGCTAGCATAGGCTTGTTTATTAAATTTGGTCAGTTTTCAGACCTTCCAAATAGGAATACTAAACATTTATTTTTCCCCTCTGGAAATTCTTTTTTTTTTTTTTTTTCCCCCCCTCTTGCTTAATACAGTCATCATCCCAATTCCTAGTGAATTTATAAAAATATTTTTTATCCAATAACCCCGACAAGGTAAAAATAGGAGTTTTTATAGCAAATGATAAACAGGCTCACGGACTATGAGAGAAACTAAACTTATTTAAATTGCCATACATTCGCTACTGAATCACACATCAACATTTTCTTTTTATGTGTGTTGCTGTCCACCTCAGACTAGCAGTTTTTAAGGTGCAGAAGCATCTTTCAAATATATGCATCTAACTTAATGGTCAAGTTCCACACACTAGTGTCACATGCTTTAAATTTACATCACCTGCCCATCAAGAGCTGTGTTAAATAACAGCACTCATTGAAACTGCGTAATTCTTTAGAAATTGCAGCACTTCCAATTCATAGAACAAAGGGGTGCTAATGTGGTTCTTTATATTACTGGATATAATTTTCTGAAATAAAAGGAAAAGAAATGAAAAAACACATTTGAAAGAAGTTGCTGCACCTGCAAAAACACTCTTTAAGCTCACTATGAAATACAAAAAAGTGCACCCTTCTATATCTACATATAAAACATATTAGAAATAAAACTTGTGTAAAATGTTTGCTGTGCAAACTATAAAAACAGTCAGTCAGTCCATTCTTTTTCCTAAACATTTTGTCACACTCTCTTGCTTCCTACTGCAGAGAATCGCTGTTATCCAAGACCAGCCCACTGATATTTGTTGTTGAGAGGTCTCCTCCATCATCTTCACCGCTGTCTACAGACTCATCCTCACTTTGCCCTGCCATCATAACTTGCTGAACAGCCAAAGTAGCACCATCAGATGACAAAGACTGGAGACTGTCTACATTCATGTTGACTGGAGCTGTAATTGTTACGACAGCGCCTGCAGAAGCACAATTGTAGTACTTTAGCATCTTTCTTGGTTTCTAATTTTAAGTAATACCTATTTACATATAACAGAGTTTGTTTCTAATCAACAGGAAGAAAACCTAAGGAACTAAATTAAAATAAAAGCTAAGTTGTCAAACACTTAAATATCAGGAAATGCCAGAATTAAGTTGGCCAGAAGTCTTAAACTTAGCTGTGTTATGGACACCCATTACAGCAACTCTCCAACCAAGTCATCACAAGACCATTTCTGCAGTATTCCAGCCTAATTAATTGCAAAAAAAATTGGGGTGTTTACATAGAGATTCAAGGTGACTTAAATAGATAAAGCTGTTGTCAGATCCAGCAGAGGTTGAGGGAAAAGTTGCTACCAACTGGAAAGGAATAAAGCAGCAGGTGGCAGGTCAGAAAGGATGGTCCTGAGATTAAGGCAGTTATTTATCTTTCTTAAATTGACTCCATTTGTTTGATCTGATGCTAAGGAAGTTACTTCAGTCAAAGTCTTTGGAGGCTCTATTACACTTCTCTGCTTCTCAATGCTCAACTTGAAACACATGAGGCATATAGAATTGCAGATGCTCAGTCCCCCTAGCAACAGTGAAAGGAATGTGAAGAGGATGGAGAGTCATGAAACTAAAACTGCAGTCCAACACTGCTAATCAACCCGAATGCGACTGACATGCATACACATACTGAGGGAACTTAGTTGCACATCTAATCTTTGTTCTGTTGTTTCATAACTTCTGAAACAAAAGCAACAGTCTCTCAACATAAATTCCAATAGAATAACCCCCAAAACACAGAAAAACTTTAAGGAGGGAAAGATTGACACATTTCTGTTATGTTTTTCCAGATTAAACACACATTTATACTGAAATATCAGAAAGTTCCCCTCCCTCCAAAGGCATTAAACCCTTCACTTCCCTGTTACAGAGGAATTAACCTTATTATCTGTGGTTTAGCCAGTTCTCCTTACCATCTGACATTGTGAGCTCGTTAGATTGCTGCTGAGCAACTCCTGAGGCAATGGAGTCAGGCCAGAACCTCTGAACCGGTCGGTTCTGAGCTGTTTTCTTCTTTGTTTTTGGAGTTTCAGAACAACTGGAATCCAGCATCGGCTGAAGAATTCGCCTTCTAGCATTGATAAACCTGAACACAAGCAAAGACAAGAAGTACTTATGAGCAGTTGGCTGTAAATTCTCTCTCTCTCTCAGATTCACAAAGTATGCAGCGTGAAAACAGAAAATTAGGAATATAAAATCTCCCTACCAGCTTGGCTTGACATTCTTTTTAACGTGTAAAACTGCTCCTAGAATACTGGCATCCTTTGATTTTGGCAAACTAGCTAAGAAAGTACTTCTATCATTTTGCTGCTAGCAGCACTTTTTTCCCCCGCCTCAGATGGGGAAATTCTCCAGACAGCATGACAGATGTACATTTCAAGATCTTATTAAAAACTAAGCACCAGAAAACTTGCTGACAGCACAGCTCAGAAAGCTGATACTCCTCTCATTAGGGTTCACCTAAAATCTAGCCCCTGCCTAACCTAGTTTGTTTGGTCTGGTTTCATTTACTTCCTTAAGCTCCCACATTACTTATTTTCCAGGCTCCCTTGCTTTCCAAGGTCTGGATCCTGATCCAGGAGACAATAGCAAACACATTTTTCCAATCTTTCACAATTCTTTTTCATTCCCTGATTTTCACTTGTTTACTTTAGCATGCTAATTGCTGCCCTTCCCTTTTCTGCTAGTGAACAAGAAAATACTTAAACCACATCTCACTTGGCTACCAGCAGTTAACTGAATCAATTTCAACATAGCTAGCTGTGGCAAGGAGCCGCAACTCCTTGCCAGCCACAGCTGACTGAGGATAGCATCCCCTGCTAAATCTGACAAAACACATCCAGGACCCATCTTTACCTGCAATGGAAGGAAGCAGGGTGCAGCTGGCAGGTTCGCATGGTGTAATGCAGTGCTTTGCAGAGACATTAGTTGGTTCCCAGTACCACAGAGCTCCATTACTACTGTGTCACACAGGCAGAGTTACACTGTTCCACTTTTGGAACCGGTGTACTGCCACTATCTTGAGTATTTCCCCACTGGACCCCTCCGCAGCAATGCAGCCAGCATCATCTTTGAAATCTGAGGAAGATCCCTGTTGGACTTAGCTGCAATAATTTTAGGAACCAATCCCACAAGCAGAATAGGATGCATGTCAGCACCCTCGCACCTCTCTTCTGCAGGGGCAGGTGTATTATCTTAAACCTCTAGTGAAGATATGACATGCTAAAACATGTTGAACCATGAACTAGGGTAGCTGAAGCTGACACCCTCCATTCAGACATCACTGCTGAGAGGACAGCATCCTTTGAGACAAGAGCAGAATGAATGTCTGTTGACAGTAACTTCAAACATTTGCAACCAGGATTACCAGAGAACACTTTTCAGAGCTTCAGGTCACTAAACGCCTTTAAATTTCAATTGCTTTACTTGCAGAAGAGACATGAGAGTACTTCCATCTCTTTCAGCAATAGAACAGAATGTAATTCCTTAATGTTGCGAAGTTTTCTGGAGTCCTTACATAATTTAAATGGCACAAGTATTATTATACCTTACTAAAAAATAATATGATTGTGTATCAGTGCATAATTCTTGTATTTTTTATACATATTTTGTAACATATGTAGAACACTAAGTTCAACTCAAGAGTATAACTTGGACATCTGAACAATTTCTCTATGTTGTAAGCGTGTGGAGACAATGACAGATATTTAAGTAAGAGTTTTTGCTCTTACCAATTGTTAACCTGGAGTAGTGTCAGATTTGTTTGTGCTGCAATCTGTTTCTTCTCATCCTCTGTTGGATATGGATGCTAAATAGGACAAAAAAAGCAAACAAGAAAGGCATAAGCTTGTTTCATCTCCTCATCAAAAATAAGGACTCCTTTATTACAACTGATTAAAGCTGCTAGATTAAGACCATCTGACTCGTTAAAAACCAGACTTCAGAAACCTCACAAACTTTTATAGATAAAAATCATTTAACAAAGAGTGCTTTACTACACAAAAATGATTTTATCTGTGAAAATGTATATGATACCATTAAACCGCTGATGTGTAATTCAGAAGAAAAAGCTTCTCATGGCTGACAGTCTTTATTAAACAGCGTGATCCCTGGGCAACACAGCATGTGATAAGATCTGATTAGTTATGCTGTCTAAAGGCAATGTCATATGAGAGTACTGACAAGCATTTTCTAGTTACATAAAGCTACTCTGAACTAAACAGATGAAGAGAGTGTACATAACGTAAGAAGTGTACATGCAGTTTCCCTGTATCATTTGTCTGTTGTAAAATAGTTGTAAAAGATAAAATATCGATCAACTAAACATTGTGATATAACTTGAGACCCATTTTTCCTTTCAGGGTAAGTATTTATGCAAAGGAAAAACATTCTATTGAAAGTACAAGTAGGAAGCACAAGCCCAAGTGTTACCACATTTGGTACACATCAGAAGGACTGTTGGAAAGGAGATAAAGCCAGGAAATTCAAAATCCTCCTCTACGAAAAAAAACCCACAAAACACAGATGGAACTACTTTTCCTTGTGCCATGAAACAGGGTGTAGAGAGCACTAAGTTCTCCACACAATGAAATGAAGAAAGATCCCTTTTAACAATGTTTATTGAGATCATGAGGTACAAATGTAACATCCTTATTAAAATAATAATAAAATCAACTGACATTAGACTGTGGAACTACTCCAAATGACTTCAGGGAAAACTGAACTGAGATTACACAAATGACAACAGAATAAATTCACCTTCTTTAGGAAGCAAAATCGTAAGAGACCACATGAAAGAGTTACATAAAAACCTGTGACTCCTGATCATGTCCAGTCCTTACCCCTATGTGCTGAAAAAGCCAAGATCTCATCACATTTGTAGCGTGCTTGGGAAGAACTCCTCTTTTATTTTTTGATGAGCCATCATCTTGATGCAAGATGCCTAGATCTTGGTTTAATTGCAACTGAAGCTGCACACATAATTTTAGAAGAAATAAGGCAGTTAACATAGTAATAGCAGTATTCTGTATCAATGTATGAATAACTCGTTTATAGAAGGAATGAAAAGAAATTAGGCTTGAGGCATGCTGATTATAAAAAGCTACTTTATTTGTTAGGGAAGACTTACAATAGCAGCTTTCCTACAATAGCATTCCAAAATGTCTTTATCCAAGGAAAATGCTGTATTGGATTTCTATAGTTTTCACATTTCATGTAAATTCTATTGTAAGAATTACAGCTGTTATCAGGCTGTGTAAGTGATCCTGTGACAACAGTCAAATGCTTATTTACTATAATTTAGAATAAAATCCACCTATGTGGTACATGTCAGGTTAATGATCCACTGTACTAATCTATACTGCCCTAGGGACCCGATTGCCTTGTCTCCCTGTGTAGTCATTTGCACATGTGAAGAACAATTGAAAAACACAATGCTGAATATACTCACTGTGTGCAAACATAAACAACTATGGAAGCTGTAAAATAGTACTGATTTAAGACTTAAAAAAAGGACTTAAAGTAAAATGAATTATTATGCTAGAGTTGCAAACAAAAATGCTAAAGGTCCTGCTAAATAAATTCATCTAAATTCTCAAAGAGCAAGAAAGTATATACAGTAGAACTCTTAATTCATTTTACAACACTCTTACTATTTTCCTAAAGGTTCATATTTATTTCTCACTTTTGCTTTCTTTTTCACTTCCTATGGACACATCAAATCATTTGCACATTGGTTATCTGAACATTAGGGAATATGTTCTTAAATGCTTATGCAGAGCTAAGAAGAAACAGCATATAAATTGCATATGAGGTTCTATTTCAGACAATTATAACTGAAATCATTCTAAATCAGGTTTTTCAGACAATACGGAACAATTTTGTCAAGCCGGTCATTATGTCTATGTCCTGTATGAAACAAGTTTTAAACAAGGTTTAAGCTACCAAATTACAACAAATGTATATTTGGAGCATACTTTTATTTCCAAAATAATGTTTTACATTCTAAATAATCTGCTTGTATATGGAGGCTTTATTCTGAACTTTCGATAGCTCTCCTCCAGTATTTTTCCCCTACCTCCACAGCATTCTGAAACACTAAAAAAGAATTTGAAGAAGGATTTCCTATGGGTAACAAGGAACACAGGTCCAAACCTATGTATAGGTGGGTTTGGAGATTACTAACATCAAGAGTAGCCACAGATACATATATAGAAGGTCAAGCCCTTTTTTTGTTTATTTTGTTGGGTTTTTTTTAATCAGAGGTATAAAAGCATTTTTCTTCAAAAACACTTCAGTCTAGGAGAGTAATTTTACACATTGCTTTCAAAAAGGTATCTGAGGACAGAACTGCATGCATTCTAGGGAAGAATATGGGCAAGTACACACATGCTACTGCCAATAAAAAGAAGGTAAGAATACTCTAAGCATACTTTTTTGGTTGGAAGGTCAGAAGAAGGAAGAAGAGAACACAGTGAGTAGTGATTACTAACAGATTTTATGCTGTGGAGATGGTAGCTCCTCATTCACATTTTTAATTGACTCCAGATTCCTGGAAGATTTGATTTACCACTTCTTGCTCCAAGAGAAAGCTAGCAAGGTTTTCCATAACTGAAGATGATCTAGTTTTCATATTTCCTTTTCCTTAGTTGTTTCTTTGAGCTGTCCAGATCCGACTCTTAAAAGCCTCCCCAAAAAAAGAGTGCTGGCCCTTATCTTTTAGGGTATGATATAATGAGCCCAGTGTGAGGATCTCCCATAGTCTCAATGGAGTATTTTGAAGGTTTTATGGCAAAATGCTTCTCAACATACATAAATTCTGAAATACATACAGTTTCACAGTACTAGTGGTTGCCATCATGATAAAAAGTCAAATTTCTGACAACAGCAGTGTGGCACCATAATGCAATACAGTAAATCTATCCAGCCATAAACCTAGTTCAACAATTAGAAAAGTTTTAATCATTGAAAAAGTGCCTATTTAATTCAGAGGGTTTTTTGGTTTGGTTTGATGGGGGGGTTTTTTGTTTGTTTGTTTGTTGGGTTTGGGGGTGTTTGTGTTTTGGTTTTTTTTGTGGTTTTTTTTTTTTTTTTTTTTTTATAAATCCATGTACCTATACTTTTCTGCCATCAGTAAGAAAAAGATACTTAACAGGTAGGAACTATGAAGATGTATCGTGGCAAGGGAGACCTGCCTGGGACCTTATGCCACGTTATACAACTTGTAACTCCTATAGCAGTGCTTGCATTAATTTTACATTAGTGACTATGTGTGTGTGCACAGGGCTCATTCTGACAGCGTGTCAAATTTAAACCAAAACTCCTAAAACCAGTGAGATTTATTTGAACCCAGAATACTATTCTGTGAAGCCCATAAAACAAACCTGAGAGTTCTGGATACGAATAGTCCCAGGTGACAGTGCCTGTGTCACCACTTGACCTTGTGGAGTGACCACAGTGACTGGCTGATACACTGTCCCCCCTTAAAACAAAACAGCAACAAAGATTATAGGTAAGTAAAAGCCCTTCAAATACTATTCTCTTTAAACACACAAACACATCAGCACTGCAGACAACACAGCAGTTTTGATAATATATCAACTATTCGTTTCTAGTAAGCATGCAAGATGTGCTCTTTGCTACACTAAAATTTTTTCCACCCACAAAAATCAGTATGAAATTTGATTGTTTCCCTGTATTTTAGGCATTCTAAATCTATTTGCAACAGAAAATGCCATGACTATCAGGCTATAAAATAGTTAATCGTTTTAACTGAGCTAACTCTTCAGCCAACAAGAGTCACAACACCAAAACCACACCTATGTGTGTCGACTGGTTAGGGCAGTCAGCTGGGTGATACCTAGATGTTCAGGTCAACTTAGGTGACAGAATCTTGGTGAATGCATAGAGGGCCCTGGGCACCAAAGCCACAAAGCACATATTGTGTCTCAGGATAACCTCTCTGGAAGTACGTGCTGTAGGATCAGACTGCATTGCTTTGTTGCATTTGTAGTCAAGGGGTTTTTTTCTGTCCGTTTGCTTTAAAACCTTGCTTAGAAGCAAGATAAAACATTTCAGTTCAAATGTCATCTCCATACAATAGCAGAACGACTTGGACACCAAGGATTTCACAGACTTGTAGGTGTGGTTCCAAACTCCACAGAGCATGAGACAGCTAGCAAGTGTGATATTTTAGGTCACGCATGTTTTTGTTAAACAGAATTCTTTTTTTTTTTTTTTTTTTTTTTTTTGGGGGGGGGGGGGGGGGGGAAAAACCCCCGACTCTCAAAAGTTTTTTTAAAGGGGGGGGGGAGTAAAACACCCTAGTCTCTGAAATGTCTTTTAACAAAAGTAGCATTGCACAGGAAGATCTCTTAATATTATATGTACGTAACCTCCGCTCACATATGCGTACTTGGTACATGTATAAATTAGGTGAACATTCAGAAACCAGTAAGTCACTCAACTGTATTATAACAACTTTTCAGGTATTAGAGTAAAAACACATTTTTAAAACTATTTATGTATTTTTTGTAAAAACTGTAAAAGAAACCAAAATGAAGAGCAAGGTGCCAGTTTTTCTTTACTGTGTCATACCTGCTACTGTTGCCATAGTTACATTTCCCTGCTGCAATGCTGATGCTGGCACCATAATCCCTTGGGGACTGAGTGTGCCTGCAATGGCACTTGGAATTTGCTAGAAAAATAAAACAATTAGTTGCTTGCATTTTTTTTTTTAAGGCGATAAAGCATGCTTGTGTAATTTTGGCTCTAAAAAAAACATTTGGAGTTTAATCACAGGATTAACTTCAAAGAGAAAGAAACTTCATTAGAGGTTCATCATTACCTACATTAACTTTCTCATTATCACCAACCATTACCTTTGAAAACCCTCATGAAAGCAACTGTTAGAAAAGACATAAAACTATCTTGAGAAATTTTAGGAGAGAAATGATTCTATGTAAATACTAAGAGAAACAGTTTCCAAAGGCACAAGGGAAAAAAAGACAGATGAAATGAACCCTTGATGCTGTTATTACAAGCATCAAAGCTTTAGAATTTTAGTTATTACCTTAATTCCTTCAATTTCAAAATAATGTATTAAGTATTCAAGATGTCCAGTATGTTTTATTCTGCTCAGGATAGTTCTTACTCAACCCTGACCATGCAAACTCTTACACATTCCTTAATATGTATGAATCATCTCTGTTATTACCAAATGCAAAATTCAGTCTCTCCTGTCTCTACAGAAGACTGTAACAGACATAGAAAAAACGTCTTTTAAAAGTTGTTTTTGTCTGATTTTAGACTCTACTTTCCACACTTCCAGACACCAAAACTTAAGTAAGGAGTCCAGACAGCGAAGTTTAGAAGTCATTGAGGCTTTTCAGAACACATACCATCAGACACATTAGTAAGTCAGAGAAGGACCATCCCCTAAGACTAGGTATCTAGTAGGTACTCGGATGGCAGGGCTCTCTTTCCAGCATCTAACAGCAGAAGCATCAACCATAACATATTAACTGTTGTTAATTAACTGCTGTCAATTTATTACAAAAAAAAAAAAATGCAATTGGCTATTGCATTTAGGTAATGTCAACAATTATAAACTGAGGTTCACATGTATAGAAATGGGCAGTGTTCATAACTACACAGTCACCCCAGGTGACATGCAATGACACACATCTCAAATATTGCAACTATAATCCATCAGATATTCTCTATTTGTTCCAGAATACAGATTGTGCATAAAAAGTATCAGCCATTTCAATATTTTAATGAAGCAGACTAGACTAAGGAGACCTTCTTAACAAGGAAATTATTTTCCTTCTCCTTTGTTTATTGTTTCCTACCCTCCTTCCAACAAAATAGCAAATCCAAGCTATTCTGATTATCTCCATTTGCTGAACTGAGGGAAAATAATAAAAGGAAGACAGACAAAAAAAGTGACTCTGTGTTCTGGCACATTTCAACAAATTTGTCCATCAGGCAGTGGCACACAGGTGTGCACAAAAACAAAACGAAACAAAACAAAACAACTCTTTCTACTCTAAATAACCGATTTTGAGAAAGTGAAAGAAACTGCAGGAACTCTGTTTGCAAACCAATAGCAACAGAAGCTTAGTTATAACTTCCTAGGGAAGTCTAAGCAAAAATACACTTAACTGTATTTCAAACATACCTGAGATTGCACAGGTGAATAAGGACTTCCGGGCTCTCCACTTAATAGAGTTTCACTGTTCATTTTTGTCTTCAGGCAGGCAATGTAACGACTACAGAAATCCTTGCAGAGTTCATTAACCTTTTCTAGCTCAAGCAGATGGATACGTAGAACTTGGATTGCTTTTACCATCTAGGGAGAGAATTTGAAAAAACTCAGAAACAAAGTAACTGTTAATTTAAAAAATATTTAATGTGAGATTTAAGCAAACACTACTTTCCAGTAACAAAGACGATCCAATTAAAGCAGAATTACTAATTGCTAAATGCTGACTAGAGTTCTCTAGCTCTGACCATTATGCTCCTGAAACGTGAAAGGAACACGTTTACATACTAAACCTGTATCTTTCCACCGCATAAGTAAACCAGCATACAGAGGAAACAAAACACGGTAATCTTTGTCTCCGTCACATGTGACACATTAGGAAGACAGAGCATAGTTAATGTGTACATGGAGCATAGAATGAGCCTGCATATCCATGTTATCTTTTATCCCCATCATACAAATCTGGGTTGTACACCACAGAAGACCGAAAGTGAAGGAAAGTAATCTCATTCACACATATTATTTGGAAAGCGTGGCTGGAACAACCTTGGCAAGCAATAGTCATCTTGAGCTACATATCAGAAGTAGCAGGTTCAGTTCCACATTACACCCTGACCCAAGAACACCAAAGTGTACAGATGAATTTGAGATACATGGAGAACACCCTTCTGTGACTTAGCATAAATGTGTCACACAGATTGCAGGGGAGGGTGAAAGGTACAGGAAGCGGCCTGCCATCTCGCCTATAACAAAAACAAAATAGCTTTTATTTTTCTATAAAATTAGAGTAAAGAGGTCCCAAAGTTTGTCACATTGTTCAACAAAGCTTAAAGCAATGAAACAGTTCGTCAGTCCTAGAGCTTTGAAATTCCTCTGCAATTGTATGTCAAAGATTAACAACTCTGGGGTAAAATCTTGTAAGAATTTTCAGGTGAGAAGAATGTTTCTGAAATATAAACCATTAAATACGAAGCACTAAACCCAATAACAAACCCATGTTTCAACAAAAAGTACAGGAGATAGGTACATGATGGGAATACTTATTATGCTTACTGCAAGAAAAAGACTCGTAAGCTTGGATAGCTAATGGTATTACATACTGCATAAAAATAGCTTAGGTGATTGTAAGAGTCATGGCAGAAGATCAAAAGCTAAAACCAAATCCAGGTAGTCTAGATTTTCATGAAGCAGTAGGAAATCCAGGACATTCAAATATGTACGTAACACATTGGCAAAGTAATTGCTTACTTTATTTTTTATACAGCATGCCATCCCCAACATTTACCTGCTATGCCACATCTCCAAGAAAAATATCCTTCAGTTTTATGAAGCTGAATAGATTATAGTTTTGAAACGTAGTGCAGAGCTTGATTTTAGCATTATTTGGAAAAATTTGTTCTATATGAAGTGTCATTTACCTGGCCAGAGCACTGAATCCAATGACCAGAAATGATAGCTTACTAACTAATCCACTTATTACTTCTAACTAAAGCAGCCAACTGGGAGCTGAAGTTGCCTTTGTTCAAAGCACCTGAAGGAGATCAAGGCAGGCAAACTCCTGTGTGTACTCCCCTCTCCACTGTGACAACTTCAGCTTTCATTGTGACAGATCTTTTCCCTGTTTTTTCAGTAGAAGGTATTCCAGTTGTATGACACTCACCCAGTGTAGAAAATTGTATGTTAAAATAAAGAAGAGGGAAAAAAAAATGAAATGGTAACAAAAAAGGAAATATTATCCCTTCTCAGGGGTAAAAAAAAAAACAAAAAACAACCAAAAAAACACATATATCTTTAGAAGCACAGCTGCAGAAAAATCTGAGCTGTAGACTTGAGGCAGTTGCTCCAAATTAAAATCCGGTAACTCTTATGACCTATGACACCAAAAGCCTTTGAAATAATAAGTGCAATGGCCCAGCGCTGAGGTATATAAAACAGCAGTCTTCTGAAACAGCCCTCAGCAGTGGTTGCTGTTTAAACTGTGTTTAAGTACCTTTAAACACAACCAGGTTAAACTATGCAAATTTAACTAGATTTTAACACAAAACAAAGGTCATTTATGTTTAAAGATATTCTGCTCCTTTCAGAATTATTAACGATTGTTCTGTAATACTGCAATACCCAAAGAGTTTCAGAGACAAAAGAAGCTTAAATTATAAAATTCTTCCTGTGTGGCAGACCAACACAGAGCACATACATTAGTGAATGCCTTAAACATTCAGGTAAAACTGAGGTAACAAAAATATGCCTTTGGGACCATAACATTTGACTGTATTAGCGATTAGTTTTGCTCAGTCAGAAGGGGTTTTTTACCTTAAGCCATTACCCATATTTATATTATTTATTTATGAGCATTTGTTTGGAGGAAAAATAAAAGTTCTTTCTTCAGCTTAGATTTAGTTTCAAATTGATGGTTGATACTTGAAGTGAAAATTGAATTAAAGTCAAAATTAACCATAAACCAAGAATCAGTAACACTGTCCAGGTTTCTGCAGAGCCACACACAGTCACACTACTCTTACAGGAAGCCGCGCTACTGTGGTTAGGAAGGCAAACAAAACTTTGTAAATATGCCATGCCTGTCACCAGGACTTATTTACTCATTTACAACTACACTAATTGTGGCCATATGGCTCCTGCTCTCTTGCAGCATGGGTGAACCAAACTTAAATTTGTTGGCAGAAGTTCACTTTTTCCTTGAAACTAAAAAAGAAAAAAAAAATAAAAATCAAGAACTCCTGATAAAATCACCCATGTTGAACAAAGGTAATACAAAGAAATGTTTCCAGACAGATCACAGCAGCAATAATATTTCATTCCTATGTTCTTAAAAGGCACACCTTAAAAATCTACAACCAGAATGGTTTTGTTATTTAGTGCTACTGAGCAGAATATGCCACAGAACAATGAATTTTTATAACCCGCTTGATTCAGCCTTTTCAGCTGAAGACATAAACCTGGAGTATCATTTCAGAGAAATGCACAAAGACAGAAGTAACCATGAGATATATGTATATTGTCGAAACTGTTGTAAAGATAACTGTAAACTGTTAAGCAGAGAAAGAATGATTATTGAAAAGCTTCCAGTTCTTGCTAAAACTGCTATCCAGAGCATATTCACATATAAATATATCATATATTAAATTTGGAAACATCTTTAGCCCTAAAAATGCTTTAGATTGTGCCCACGTCCTCTCTTTTCAGTGCCTCAAGCTCATGGTGCAAAGGGCACAAAACACACGATGCACCACCTTAACTCATAATCCCCAGCTCACCTTGTTTATCTAAAACGTATAGCCACAATTTTTTACAGATTTCAGGGCATTTAACATAAGCATATAGCAAATACATATGTGGACAACATATATGAAAGAATCTCCATATACTGACAAGTAATCTTCTCACTCAAATGACTCTTTCTCATTTGCAAAAAACCAACTAAAATATGTACATTCACAGCTCACCTACCTTCCTGAGCAAATCCTTCTGAGGCAATTTAGGTCTTCAGGGGAAGAATACAAACTCTGGAAAAGGGGGTATTTTGTTTTCTTTTGTTTTCATTTGTTTTGATTTGATAACGTCTCTCTCCTATTTTGAGTCCTCAGCTATGACATAGCTAGAAAAGGTATGACTAGAGGTTTATGAGACAGCTCTGCACATTACAATAGTAAGAACACTTTTCAGATAACGCAAAAGGATGGCTTGTTCACTCAACAATACTCAAATGACATCAGCTGGCTTCACCACCACCACAACTTTTCCTGACACAACTAAAAATTCAATAGGATAGTCTGAGAAGAGGGTACTGAACCAAAAATCCTTACCCCAAACGAAACAAAAAATTCAGGGGTCTTCAAAAAAGGCAGTGTCCTGTTCAAATACAAAAGTGAGAGTATATTTAACACCCCATGTTTTGTATTGTTTCTAGACTTCATAAAGCCATAAGTAACCTGCTCTGCCTTCACAGCTGACCCTATTTTGTGCAGGAGGTTGGATTACAGACCTCTTGAGCTTGGAATCCAGCCTGAATCATCCTATGGTCCTATGAACGTGGGGAAATTAAAAAAGCCACTCATATACTGGAAGTTTACTCTGAACAGAAGCTATACAGGAACCAACCTGAGGCAACGTGATGTTTCTGCAGTGGCTGGGTTAACAGTAAAAAACAAAGAAGTGTTAAGTACTGAATATCTTAAGACATAATGTAATCTGTGAAAGCTCTAAAAATTATCTTCAAACACTCATGCTGAACAATTTCGTAGACATGGAGGAACCTGTCCATGTAAGTCCTAAGCACAAAAGTATACTAATGGAGAACAAAGATAAGCTGGTTCATTCCGAGATCTGTTTTATCTGTGAAAATGAGATAGAGATGTCGAAGGGTAAGGAGCAAAGGGTAAGGTGCTCCAACAGATGATACTCCATGTTATGGGGATACAGCTGAGCATACTTCCAGAAAGATGCACATGCTCTTGGGAACCTCTGGCTAGCAATACACACCACCAAGATCTGGTTCTTAACAGCAAACACATCTCTTCTGGTACTAATGCCTGATATAAGGACTAAGGTGGATGCAAAGTAACAATCCAAAAAGACAAGAAGGAAGTTAAAGCTCTGGGAAAGGAAGCATGCTTCCAGTCTAGCAAGTAAAACATGAGCACAACCTTCAGCTTCCACCTCCTTCCCACAGGGACTAGGATTTGAAAAGTGGAGGTCTGCAGCACTTCTTGCAGCTAATCAGCACTTAACATCAAGTTCAGAGAAGACCAGTGGAGACACGGACCGCATGAGTGACCAAGAATCAAAGAAAGAGAACAAAGTTGTTGAAAACCAGAAGATCCCTGCAGAAGACATTCCAAGATAAAGGATAATTCTGGCTCCAATAATATGTTGGGTCATGCATATCTATAAGAGCTAGATATTTACTGCAAAAAAAATCATAAACTTGTTCCTCTTTCTTTTACCTCCCTAAATAGTCTAACCTGTGTGGCTAGTCAAGTTGGAAGGGAAAGTTGCAAAGTTGTGTTTGCAGCCAATAGTTCCTGAAGAGCAGACATGTAACTACCACAGAAAAGCCCATTTCTTTGTGT